TTTTACTTTACTCTTTTAATAATCTTTTATTTTACTCTTTGAAATATGTACTTTGGGTTTCCTATAGAAGAGAAGCTATGAAATATTTAACATTCTGTGTATAACGATTTCGCTTAGCATTATGGTTTCAAGGGACATTCCTTTCCCTACAAATGACTCAAATTTGTCATTCTTTATAGTTGAGTAGTACTTTGTTGAGTATATATACCACTGTTCTTTTATCCATTCATTTGCTGATGGACTGAAATATGTGTAAGTACCAGTTCTCCATGACAAATATATTTATTATGCACAACAAACATACTAATAAAAAGTTAAAAATATATAAGCACGTCTTCTGAAGGTTGCACCTTCTTTCCAAAGCATCTTCAAAGTAAAAGAGATAAAACTACTGAAACCTTAAAGGCTTTGCTTTCTACAAAAGTCAAACCATTGTATGACAAGTGTAATTACCTAAGTGTAATTACACTTAGGAATCGAGGAAATTCTCATGAAATGAGAGATCAGTGACATTCACAAGCAGTGACTGTTTGGATCATATTACAATATTGCTCATATAGATATTACAGATTCACACTGATAAAATAATACAACTCTTAAAGATACGGAGCAGTAAACTAATAATATGAGTGCATACCAGATCTGGGCACATCTTATAAAACATTTTGCCTCATTTGATGTTTCAAAGACCCTTCTTATACAGAAAAATTCCAAACTAAATTCATTATATTTATGGTTCTGTTCTTGCTTCACTTCTTCAAAAAAGATGACTATTTATTCATTTGAAACAAATTAAGAATGTTATTAAATAATTTCTCCACTGACACACAATTGATTTTTCAGTTAGGAGGATAATAAGCAGAGTCATAGAGCATTGTACACATTTGCCTGAGGAAATAACGTCTGTACATATCATAACCTGTGATGTTTAATGATTTTTAAAAAATGTTTACAGTGTGTGAAAGCTGTGGATATTGAGGAAAAACTGTGCTTGAATTTTGAATTTGGACTTTTCCTGACTAGGGGTAGGCAGTATGAGCTCTCCCTTGATGTTTAGGAAGCTGCAGCTCCCACTCAGCATCACAACTGAGAGTGTACAACTCATACTCTAGTGTGTGCGTCGCTGACCATAACATGTGGTAGGTTAGGTGTATTGTGTGCATGTTGAACTCATGTTTTTCATGTTGAACTCATGTTTTTCAAATGGGTTCCTAGGATATACCAGAATCATAAGATAAAAAAGATCTTCACTTGAGATATATTAGCATAATACCTTCTATATCATAATGTATGTGAGTGAGTGTGTATGTGTGTGAGTGTGTGTGTGTATGTGTGTGTGTGTATGGAATAATGTTCCCTTAAATCTCCAACTGAAGTAATTCTGGGGTTCCTATGTCCTAGTCTATAGAAGCAACCAGCTTGGTCCCATTGGTGTGTGAGTAAGCTCAGTCTCATTATCATGCTTCACCTTTCAAGATGATTTCATGAAGTAGACGATCAGCACGGTCCTCTCTCTCTCCTTCCAGTAGACACTCCTACCTAGAGTGAAAGAGAAACTAACATAGTGGATAACAAATCCTTCCATCACCTGTGTGTGCTGCCCATGCTTTCCAGGGGGTAGAGCTTGAAACACAAGTGATTCCCTCCCATTTCCGGTCTTTTTCCTTAGTTTTCTCTCTGAGCTGTGAATGGCTGTTCCATTCTCTCTACAACCTGAAACAGACTTTCTTCTGTTTGCATGCTCAGCCCAGGCACCGACCTACTAGAAAGTTATTCATAAACCTGTTGTGATTTTGTTTTATTTTTCCTTCTCTAAGACATGGTAGATATCTTTTCTCAACACTCTCTTAACCCATAGATATCTCAATTAATATAATTCCTTATTGTACTGAAATTGTATGTCCTTATGTCTTCTTCCTGCCACAACCTTATTATATGCAACATTAGCATCTAGCACTTTGCTTTATAAATTATGGTTGAAAAAAGAGGGACTACTACTCACAAAAGCTAGGAATGAAAGGTTTGTCCGTGACACAGCAAAAGTACAAAATATCCTCTCTAGGACCTTGCTAGGCCTAACCTGAAGAGCAAAGCACATATGTTGTAATCTCCATTTCTCACTTCTCCCTTTCTTGGACTGCTTTGTGAGTGATATTTCTCTTTTTTTATATAAGCTTGTTGTTTTCTTCATCAAAGCCTATAAGAACTGGAAAATGTTCATGGCAGAAAATTGAGATTTTCATCATAGAGATATGGATTTTATTATTGTATACACTTGTTCTTAAAATGCAAAAGGATATTTTGGAATCACTGTGGCTTCAAAAATTTAATAGTAAATTTATATGAAAGTTTAAAAATCATGCTAGACTGTACATCGAATGACTGCTAACATAAAGATGACCAAGAGTTGTAGCAGTTGGTAGCCAAATTAGTCATTTAATGACACTATAACCTGAAGTACAGTTTCAATGTTTTACCTTCAGTTTTCCTACATGGATCTAAAGGCTCGTCCTATTGACTTAAGTACCTGTCATCTATAATCTTGGTAGGCTGAATAATGGTACTTAAAGTTATTCCTATTGTGTATCCCCATACCCAGAACCTGTAAATATGTTAAGTTCTAGGGAAAAGGAGGACTGAAGTTGCATTAGAAATAATGTTGCTAGTCAGCTGACTTTAAATTTGAGGTATTGAGTCATATTATGTGGATGAGTAAGCATTAGAACCTTTAAAAGTGGAAGACAGAAGCAGCAGAAGAAAATTAGGGACATCAGCAGTGTCTGAGAGGTCCTACATCAAAGGTGAAAGAAGAGTGCCCAGGCCATAAGGCAGATTTAAAGGCTGGAAAAAGTATGCACACATTGTTTGGTGTTTTGTGACTACCTTATTTCACTCAGCATCGTATTGTCAAGCTTCAGAATATCCTTCCTTTAAACCTCGATATTAAATGTATATATCTATATTAATTGTTTCCCTTACCTGTGATTTTATTATCTGAGATATCAGTACCAGTCATGGTCTGAATATATGAAAAAAAGTTTTACATTTAATTTTATGTAGAGTTCCCTCTGTATTTTCTTCTAAAAGTTTTATAGTTTTACCTCTTACATTTAGATCCTTAGTCCATTTTGAGTAAATCCTCAACAGAGCTCAGGATCTTGGAGTAGAGGGTGACCTGTGCCAGTCGTGAACCTACAAATGAATCAGTCCCTGCCTCAGTGCTGGAGCTGCTATGGGGATGCCAGTCATCAGGGGATGGGACTCCTTGCTGCGCGTGTGGGGAGTGCTCCAAGATGGATGGAATGCCGGGCGTTTCTTACTGCTGGAAAATGCCAACAGAATCTGAAACAAGGCAGACAGTCCCTTCTCTTCACTTTTACCTTCTGAACTCCTGCCAGCGTTCCCTTTTCATAGAAACTAGCCGTACACCAATCCGTAGGAAAATAAAATATGCAGCATCCTTGAACCACCCCCCCACCACCACCGAAAAAGGAAACATGGTAGAACATAGGAGAGCAGAAACGGGGTGAAAGTATCAGGCAAGCGATTGCCCTAAGCTCCCCCTCTACAGTGCTTCTGAGTGGTTGAAATATATCCCAGAGGACCATCTGTTTGAATTGCTGGGAGTCTTTCTATTTTAAAACGTAGAAGAGGACATATTTTGCTCATTTAGATTGGTTTATTACCAAAGCTTTATGGATCTCCACCAGGTGGAGTCAGAGGCCAGTTTATTAAAGGGTTAAATTTTAGATGTAAATTTGCTGAAGGATTTTAATTTTAGATTGAAGGATTAAAAAAAAAACAGTACTGAGGAAATTCTTTCCTTAGATGTTCTGCTGGAACAGCATCTTGTTTTTTACTGTATGTGTTTTGACTACTATGCCAGTGTGCTCCCCGTTCTCTGGTTATAACTTAGAACTTCTGATACAAAGAGCAGAGCCATTCCAGCTGGCTCGAGAAAAAAGGCTTTTGTTATAAATATACAACAGGAGTATCACTGACTCTGCTAAAGTGGAGATAAAATACAGCCAGGGCTTACCAGGAGCAAGGGTGGCTCTTTGTTTCTCCTAAGGAAGGCAGGGTAACTGTTATTTCTGTTTCTGTATTAGTATTAAATATTATTAATATTATTAATGACAGATTAATAGTTAATTAATATTCATAACAGATTATTATTAATAGCCATATTATTATTAACCATATTATTCAGATGTGGTTACATGGGTAGGTAGACAGGAAATGCCAAATGTGAAGCTAAAAATTTAAAATAGTAACACAAGATTATTAAGAGAGTTCCTACTAATAAATTCTTCACAGCTCAGGGAGAGAAATGGATGGTGCAATGCCCAGTCCTTACAGATACCTCAGAAAACATATGACCTGTATTGAGTTCTGTCTTATACCTGTAGGTCTCTCTGAGGGGGGCAGTGTCTATAATTCATAACTTGAAGACTACTGCTACGTAATGCTCTAAAGACTTTGATCTCATTCTTGGCTTATTAGTCTCTGGGCTAATCTCTTAGACTCTAGTTGCTCTGTCTCAAAAACTTTGGAGACTTTAAAAATAGTATTTCTAAAGCATCCATTTTATCCAGAATATAGTTCAAGCTTCTTACATGGGGAACCGAGATCAACTACAAACCACCATCATTCTCATGGTCAGACCTTACCTATGCCTTGATTCAAAAGGAATTCTCAGTTTGGGGCAGTTTCTCTACTGTGTTGCAAAAGTCCCAAGATTGTTCGTTCTCTTTGGTCTTTGCTTTTCTTCTTTTCACCAATCCCAGCCCATCCATACTTTAAGAATATATTCATTCACTCCACCTTTTTCCCTCCTGCAAGTCTCACTATACAGTACACTGCTTTGGCTATTGGAGTCTACAGTCTTTAACCTTACTGGCTGGTCTCAATATAAATACATGCTCCTCTTGGATTCTACACTCCTGGAGGCAGGGCCATGCCTGACTCACCTCCCATTTTTCCACTTCATGTTCCAGAGTACATCTCAAGCATATCTGCTCATTATTTGACAGAAACTTTTCTGATACAAAAAAAGAAGAGCACTCAGGATTATGTAACTATAAGCACAAGTTCACACAACACTTGGATTCACAGTGTTCTCCGGTGTTAAAGGTTAAAACTGAATAATGCAGAGCTGTGGCCGATAATTTAGGATTATGTATAGCTGATCTCTTCAGTTGCCTTAAGGCTGCCAGAGAAACTGGGGTTTTACTGCAGGTTAATGCTGATTTATAAAACGTTAACTGACTTTAATCTGAAGGAGGAAATTTATGTGCAATTTAGATGCATGATTCTGATACTAAAACAAAATGGTACATGCATATTGCAAAGAGTCTCCAAGAGAGCTGAAGTGAAGGGAATAAAACCTAGAATGTATTGAGAGCATATTATTGACAATTTGAGATAAGATAATTGTCACAGATGAAGAATAAAAGGACTCAGGGAGGAAGCTATAAAGTCTCACCATAAGTCACACAAAACAATCAATTCTCTTTTTTAAAAAAACTTTTGTTTAGTGAAATTATACTATACAGCAGTGGAATTTTGAGTCGATTTCTCACAGAATGAGATTTATATGTTCTCTTAGTGTGGAGAGGTAAAGTCTGAAGAGATAATACGTTCTTGAGAGCAGGGAGGAAGGCAGTTTTAGCATGTGTTTGAATCTGTTGCAAGCTTTGAAGGCTGGTTTAAAAATTTGGGGCAGGTACTACAATGTCTTTAGGTCTTTAATTTTTGTTTAGTTTTTCTTTTGAAATTTCATGGGCTGATACATGGGTATTTAACTTTAACAAAAAGAAGAACTTAATAAGCAATTTAATAATAGGATAGCAGCACATTGTTCTGGAAAAAGAGGGTAAATATAACTGGAGAGACTAGAGACATCTTCATAAGGAGATGATGCATTAAGGCTGAGTTTCAAGCAGAAGAATGCGGCAGAACTCCCATCTGAGAACCATGTGAATAAAGGTGTGGAGCAGAGAAGGGCATGGCACAAAGTTGCAGTAGAATGAGACAGGAGCAAAAGGCAAGTTTGGGGAGCAGCAGGACGTAGTTTGGAAAAGGATATTGAGCCCAAATCATAAACCCCCTCGAGTGCCATGCTAAGAAGTTCAAGGGGGGAATCACAAAAGAGTTCTAAGGAGGAATGCAGACAAAAGTGAACTCGGTCGGTGAGGAAGATTCTAGAAATGGGGTCCAGATTAAATTTTATTTAGGCAGCTGTGAGGCAGGGAGTAATTTAAAAAGTAATAATGAACAAAGTGATATAAAAATGTGACTATGGATTATGTGTGTTATTAATGAAGAAGGAGAGTGTGTAGGGTGCAGAGAGAGAGAGAGAGAGAGAGAGAGAGAGAGAGAGAGAGAGAGAGAAAGATTGGGTCTGGGTTAGAAAGCTTTTAGAACCTCAGTTTGGGGTGAGAGCAGTGAAAATGTAAAGATAGCAGCGAGTGAGCCCGGGGCACACTACTGAAGTGTCTTCCAGTCATGTCTTCCAGTCATCCCTTAGTAAGAAAAATACTAAGTGGCAAGGATTAGAGATGCCTAAGACAATATTCCTTAAGGGTGATTATAAGGTTCTGCAAAGTGTGTTTCAGATAGCTGTGTATTGTTTCACCCCGATAGACGCTGTAGAGTCATGATTTTAGGTTTATCTTTCTTCAGTTTGAACTAAGATGCCAACTTTTATTCCTCTTGAGGGATAATATGAATTTTATGCTCTTCATTTGTATTCAGTTACCCTGTCAGAGAAGCAAGGATTTGCTGGCTACTCTTCTCAGCCCTTTATAGTTTTATCTTGCCACATCTAGTCTCTTCATCTGAACCGCTTGGTCTACATCTTCCTCTATTTACTCGTGCGTACATCCTCTCCCCGTCAGTTCTAGCTTCACAGTACAATTCTTTTGAACCTTCAACAGATATAAGATGATGTTTTGTTTTATGGACAATTTTATTGCTGTGAACAGGCAAATAAGGAGGCTTGTCTTCCACCCTATTTTGCAGCAAATCACAAATATCATAATGTATTTATGTGTAGAATATATACTCTCGATAAATGTCACTGAGAAATTTTTACTAACTATGATGCTTTGTTAGCAT